TTTTTTTTTTTGGTGGAGGACCTTTCGGTTTTTGGATTCACAAAGGAACCGATTAGTTTGAAATCGAGTCAAATAGGACCACAAGGGCAATTTGACAATTTATAAATACTTTCCTTTAATAATTTGTAGTTATTTATATGTATATGTTTTTTTATTTTATAGTAATCTATATATATATATATATTGTGGGCTCAGATGCGCAATGCGGAAGATGTAAATTAAAATATCAAGGTAAAATGATAAACAATAATCCCAATCCCAGCAACTCAAGAATGACAAAAGAAAATTCTCTTGCAATAATACCGGAATAATTCTTTTCTGATGTGGAAGTTCAGATTAAACTGCGACCACAAAGCATACTAAGAATATCCCAAATAAATAAAATATGCAAGAAAGAAGACACCAAGATTTAACGTGGAAAACCTCCAAATAGAGGAAAAACCACGGGACAACCTCCGAACAATTCCACTATATTTTCAAGATAATTACAATATCTTTTCACACTCCCTTACACTAAAAATGTAAAATATAGTGACCCAGTGAGAACCCCACTCCTAAACAAAGAGTAATAGAGTTGATACCCAACCCGGTGTATTTATCCCACACTCACAGGATTTACTCAAACACTCTATTTTTATCTCACTGGACAATAACACTCAAAGATGTTATTTCTTCTCTCTTTTTCTTTCTTCTGCTTGGTGCTTCCTTCAGCACTGCAAACGCAACTATTTATACTGAAGAAAAGGTTCATGACAACTCACTTTTTCAATTGTGATTAGCATCTCATTTGCTGGATTTTCTTTTAAACAATAGTTGGCTTTTGTTTTGTTGTGGTTGGCCACCATGTGAAACTTTTGTGTGTGTCTATATACCACATTTTTTATTTCTTATTGTGGCTGGAACTCACAATTCTCCCCCTCCAGCCAAAGGGTAATATTCTGCAAATCTCACATGCATTCCATGCCGATCAACTCGGCACAACGCTGAAGCTTTCCTCATGTTACAACTTTCGTCATCATGTCAGCAGGGTTTTCGTCAGTGTGAATCTTTTCCAACTTGAACTGTTGTTCTTCCACTACTTGACGTAGCCAATGATATCTGACATCAATGTGCTTCGTGCGAGAGTGGTACATCGCATTTTTACTCAAATCCAATGCGCTCTGACTATCACAATGGATATCGTACCTTTCCTGCTTCATTCCCAATTGTTGAAGAAACTTCTTCAACCAAAGCATTTCTTTTCCTGCTTCTGTCATTGCAATATACTCTGCTTCAGTAGTCGACAAGGCAACAAATTTCTGCAATTTAGATTGCCAAGATACAGCTCCCCCTGCAAATGTAAACACAAACCCTGAAGTAGATTTTCTACTATCCAGGTCACCTGCCATATCCGCATCTGTATAACCTTCAAGAACTGGATTTCCTTTTCCGAAGCTCAAGGACTTATTTGCACTGCCTTTTAGGTACCTCAAGATCCACTTCACAGCTTCCCAATGATCCTTCCCAGGATTGGAAAGATACCTGCTAACAACTCCAACCGCGTGAGCGATATCCGGTCTGGTACAGACCATGGCATACATCAAACTCCCGACTGCCGAGGAGTATGGAACACCCGCCATAACTTCTTTTTATTCTTGACTCGTAGGACAACTTTGTTTGCTGAGTTTGAAGTGATTGGCCAACGGGGTATTGACCGGCTTAGCCGATTTCATGTTGAATCTCTCCAGAATCCGATTCATATACCGTTCTTGCGAAAACCATAACTTCTTGGATTTTCGGTCTCGCATAATCTGCATGCCCAAGATTTGTTTCGCAGGGCCCAAGTCCTTCATCTCAAAGGACTTAGCTAATTTCTTCTTCAAATCACCAATCAGCTTCATATCATGTCCCACTATCAACATATCATCTACATATAGCAAAAGGATAATGAATCTATCACCTGGAAATTTCTTAACGGACACACATGATCTGCATCAGTCTTGGTATATCCACTGGGATTTATCCTTATGAGTCTGTACTTCTTCAAAGCTTTCGGGTTCCCCTTCTTCAGTGATGGTAATATATGTGGAACTAGGGTATCTCGTAGACGGTTGGATCGCTCGATTTGATCTCCTGAGCTGAGGCGAGGCTTCGAGGTCTTCTTGCTCGACACCTTCACCATCACTATCTTCTATTGCTGGCTCATCGTTAACCCTGAGTTCTCCATCACACTCTCCCCCTGCTGTGGCATCTCCATGAGGTTTGACAGGTGAAAGATCCACCTTTCTACTTGGTTCTCTGATTTCTGGTGAAGCAGAATCAGACATAGTTTCTTGCTCATGGAACACTACATCTCTGCTTCTGATAATTTTTCGATTTTCTGGATCCCATAACCTGTAGCCAAATTCCTCATCTCCATAGCCCAAAAATATACAAGGAATGGCTTTATCATCAAGTTTTCTTCTCTGTTCCTTGCTTACATGAGCAAAAGCTTTGCATCCAAACACCTTTAGATGAGAGTATTTAACATCATGTCCGGACCATACTCTCTCATGGATATCAAAGCCCAAAGGAACAGATGAGATCGGTTGATCAGGTAGCACGCCGTTAGAACAGCTTCACCCCAGAATGGCTTAGGTAGCTTAGCGATTCTTAACATACACCTCACTTTCTCCATAATGGTTCTGTTGATTCTTTCAGCCACACCATTATGTTGTGGGGTACAGTCTTCTCAGGTACAGTCTTCTCATGCCTGATGCCATGCTCGGCACAATAATTCTTGAATTCATGGGAAGTATACTCCCCCCCATTATCTGAACGAAGACACTTCAAGGGTTTACCAGCCTGTCTCTCCACCATAGCATGAAACCTTTTGAAGTATTGAAAAACTTCACCTTTCGTTCTCAAGAAATACACCCACAATTTTCGTGAAGCATCATCAATAAACGTCACGAAATATCTGCTACCACCGAGACTCTCCACTTCCATGGGTCCACATACATCAGAATACACCATCTCTAACACATTCTCTTTCAGCTTCGAGGTTTTGCTGAAAGACACTCTATGATGCTTCCCAAAGAGACAATAATCACAAGGATTCAGTTTTGAATCTTTGGCAAATGGGATGAGGGACTTTCTTGCCAAAATCTGTAATCCTTTTTCCCCAATATGAGCCAGTCTTTTGTGTCACAAATTTGGCGAAGCATCATCCTCGACTGCATTCAATCCACCCTTGATCAGCTTCACTTGAGTTCTATACAGTGTCGATCTCACTGTACCTCTAGCAGCTAACAACGATCCTTTGGTAAGCCTCCACGTGCTGTTACCAAAATTGTTAGTATAGCCTGCTAGATCCAATTCATGCACAGAGATCAGATTCAGACGTAAGTCTGGTATATGTCGTACGTCCTTCAGTGTTGCTGTGCACCCAATATCAGTTTGAATGCACACATCACCAACTCCCACAATATTTGCAATACTGTTGTTGCCCATCTTTACTCTACCAAAGTCTCCTTCTTTGTATAGAGAAAAGAATTCCTTGTGAGAGGTTGCATGGTATGATGCTGCTGAGTCAATGACCCATTCAACACATGAATCTGCAAAGTGACATTCTTCTTCTTCAACAGAGAGCAACACCACTTCCCCACTGATCACAGGGGTTGCGGTATTTTCACCGTTCTCTAATTTGTTGTTCCTTCAACCTCTGTTCTTCCAGGCTTTGCAGTTTTTTTTGATATGCCCTTCTTCACCACAGTGATAACACTTGAACTTTCTCCTAGGTTGAGATTGTGATTTATCTTTGGATTTGTTATCCCGGCCTCTACTTTTACTTCTCCCCCTAGTTTCTGTGACCAGGGCTTGGGAGCTGCTTGTCCCTGAGTCTTTTCTTCTTGTTTCTTCATTAAACATACTGTCTTTGACTTGGGTCAAAGTCAGTTTTCCCTCAGGGGCAGAGTTGCTCAACGAGACCACCAGAGTCTCCCAACTATCCGGTAAAGAACTCAAAAGTAACAGCGCCTGCAGCTCTTCATCAAGTTTCATCTCCATGGTAACAAGTTGGTTCACCATGTCTTGAAACTCATTCAAGTGTTCTGCAACTGATCTTCCATCCCGATATTTTAAATTTACAAGCTTTCTAATGACGAAAGCTTTATTCTGTGCAGTCTTCCTCTGGTACATTTGTTCAATTTTGTTCCACAGAGTATGGGCTTTCGACTCTGTGGCAACATGGTGGAATATGCTGATATCCACCCATTGCCGGATTAAACTGACAGCCTTTCTGTGTAGCTTTTTCCAATCGTCATCCTTCACATCATCTGGCTTGTTGTCTCCCTTTTCTACAAGATCGTACAGATCTTTGTAGAAAAGTATGTCCTCCATTTTTTGCTTCCAAATGGAGTAATTTGTTGCTGTGAGCTTCACCATGGTACCCACGTTCTCCTCCATTTAATTTACACGGGTCGATACAGAGCCCAACTTGAGCTCTTATACCACTTGTTGGACTCAGATGCGCAATGCAGAAGATGTAAATTAAAATATCAAGGTAAAATGGTAAACAATAATCTCAATCCCAGCAACTCAAGAATGACAAAAGAAAAATTTCTTGCAATAATACCGAAATAATTCTTTTCTGATGTGGAAGTTCAGATTAAAGTGCGACCACCGAGCTTACTAAGAATATCCCAAATAAATAAAATATGCAAGAAAGAAGACACCAAGATTTAACGTAGAAAACCTCCAAATAGAGGAAAAACCACGGGACAACCTCCGAACAATTCCACTATATTTTTGTTGTGATCTTACTTTTTTGTGATTTTATTTTTGTATTTTTCTGTAAATAAAGAGATGAAGGAGGAAGATGTTCAAGATGAAAGAGAAGAGAGAGTAGAGAGAGATACG